GTGACAGATCAGAGGAGACCACAACTCTCGGCTCCCTCTGCAGTCACAAAACAGAACCCCCGGCCCACAACCGCTCTCCAGAGCAGCCTGCCCCCAGAGCCCCGGCCGGAACTGTCCACACACCCCTTCTGGCCTCTGAGACCTCGGGGGGATGGAGCTGCCCCCGCCCAGCCTTAGGGACTTCCGTGAAGGGGACACAGCCAACAACGGTGCCCAAGGCAACAGCAGATGGGGGTGTTTGGGGAAGAAAGGTTGCCAGAGCGCGTGCCCACGACCAGCAGCGTGCCCAGTGGGGTGAGAACACGACAGCTTCACTCCAACAGGAGGGCGCTGAGCTAGCCCGCAGGGGCGCAGGCCCCATCCCCTCCCTCCACTGCTCTCTGCACGAGGGCTCATGGCTGGCTGGGAGCTGGGCCTCGGACTGACAGGCAGGATGCTGGATCTTTCTGGGCTTCAGGCGGCGCCGGGAGGATGGGAGAGCCTGCGTCACCTTCCCTGGGGATGTGGGTGGGCAGGGTGAGGCTAAGTGGTAGATGCCATGCCCACCCTGAGGGAGATCCAGCTCCCATGCCTGGTCAGCGCATCTCATGTGCAGCCACCACCCGCGCGTGCCTGTGCAGGCTGAAGTGCGTCTGTGACGCGCGGAACACACTAAGAATCGGAAAGAAGGGCTGGCGATCTATCAGCCGGCGAAACCCTGTGGGACACAGCAGTCCCACTGACCACCGAAGCACAGAGATGGCTGTGACCTGTTTCACTGTGCTTGGGTCAAGTACAGTGGCACGCACGGCCATCCATTAGGTCTCAGCCGGGGCTCCCGGACCCCTCCCCTCACTGGCTGAGTCCGCACACTGGGCTTGGGCCCTGCTTGGCCCTCTGACTCTTCTGCTGCCCTCTGAGCCCTCAAACTCCTGAGCAGTGCCCACCCTTTGGCAGACATATAGAGGCGTTCGCACGGTTGACCCCAGGCGTTTCCCTGGGTAAGCTGGCAGCGGCTACCGGTCCCCACTGCCGCCCCATCCTCCAGGAGCGGGGACAGTGCCCGAGATCTTTTGTTTTTCCTTCACATGCAAGCATCTTGGAAGTCCTTCACCCAGGTCTGCCTCGGAAAGGGTCAAACACACCCACTAACAGCACACACTTCTGTCGCTGCTCTCTAAAGGGGGCTAGTGGGTCGCGCGCCATGTGAAGGTGTTCTCGCTCTTTCAGCGTAAAACCAACCACGTCAAGTACACGCACACCTGACAAGGGCCTGAGCCCCGAGCTCGCGTTAGGATTTCTGCCTTGTGTGACCTTGAGGGGCAAGGGATTGGCTTGGAACACCTGGCTGTCTACCTCCATACCACCGCCCATCACGCGCACTTAAACGGCGAGAGACCTGTGTAAGCTGTGTCTGTGTGAGAGAGCTCAACTCCATAGCCACACGCAGGTCAACCCCTACCTCAAGCCACACACAAAACAGGCCTGGGTGAAGGGACCGGATGCTTGGTCAAACCATGGACCAGACTCTTCAGGACCAAAGCCACCATTTTCCAAGTTGGCAAGAAGGCCAGGACCCTCCTCCACCCCGAATCTGATTTCCAATGCTGCTCCTGTTCCTCTTGGAGAACGGCAGGCAAACAGAAGCAGAGGATTCAACACGCCGAGGACTGTGACCCCATAGTCACGTCCCTACAGAGCACACACACCACACCCCTCCCAGGGCTCAGCCTGCATGCAGGCCGAGGAAAGGGACGAGGGGAGCTGTGGGCAGCTGGGCGGCAGGGCTACTCAAGAGGGATGGGGGTTTGGATGCTATGGAGGGCAGTGTGATCGAGATGGGCACAGCCTGCGTGGGTCTGCTGGAGAGCCCATGTAGTGGCTGGGCACACAGGATGTCGGGAGGCGGCCAGCATGCCGTCCGCTGCCAGCAACCTCTGACTTGCTGGGAGCTGGCCAACACGCAGCCCCCAGCCCTGAGACTGGACCCACAACTCGGGTTCCCAACCCATCAAAGGCCGCCAGCGCAGAAGGGGCAGTGCTGGGGAGACAGCCCAAGCGGTGCAAACACAAACCGAACGCGTGAGACACACGCTGCATCGCAAGCCTCACCCCCACCCCCACCCCCACCCCCCGGAGAGCTGCCCGGCACCCTCACCGCAGTCCAAGTCCATGAAACCAAGATTCGTGGTGTTGCCTGAGCTGCACACGCCTGGCGCGGCCACCTTGGGAGGAGGCCCTTTCTCCAGGCTGGGGGTCACCGTGCGTGTGGCTCCAGCTCTCATTTTGGGTTGGGGACTTTTATTTATCGTAAACATTACCTTTTTGAAGGAAAACAATTCAGGCCCTACAAGTCCAGTCCCAGGGTGTGTAGAGTAAGGGGGGGTGGGGGGTGGGGTGGGGAGGAAGATTCCGGAGCACTGCCATAGAGACATCACCTAGCTTCGCCAAAGGCTGGTTCTAACAGATCCTCATCTGGCGGCTTGGTTCTAAGGACCCACCTTCCGTATAAGCCAGGGAGGCCCTGCGCGCCCACCCTTGCTGCCTCCCCCCTCCCCCCACGTCCACACGAGCACTGGGTGGAAGCGTGGACCCAAGGGCACATTGCTGACGGAGAAACGGATCTGCTGGCAGCCGCCCGACTCCACAGATGTCGCCGTCACTGGCTGGCTGCCACGCAGAAAATAAAAATCTCCTTGGGTTTGCAAAAGTGTTAACAATCACACGGCACCCAACTCCCTCAATCATACCCCCTCTTTATCTCACGCCCAAGAACACTGGGGCTTCTAGGAGCCAGTGAAAAATAAATGGGGGGGGGGGTGTTTGAGTGCAAAACAGAAAAAAGCCAAACAAGGTGACCTCACAGGTCCTCCTCCAGCCGACCTTTCCCTGACTTCCACGGGGAGAGAATCTCTGTGATTATGACCAA